TGGGTCAAACAGTGATTTAATAATACAGTTTCTGTGTGGTTATCTTGGGAGTCTGGGTAACTGGGACATGAACAAGCAGTCTTATACAATAAATTGACACACAAACGTGGTTGACTAAATCCATGTAAAAGCTAAGAAAGCTTGGAAAGGAATTCTAGACACTAAAAAACAAAGTTTAGCTACATTTTTTTCCAGATGGGCTCTGCTTGCTGTTGGCATGCTGCAGCTCCTATAAGAAAGGTCTTCCCCAAAACAACAGTCTACAGAATGGGAAAAGATCTTCACTAACCCCACATCAGAAAGAGGTCTGATCTCCAAAATATACAAAGAACTCAAGAAATTGGACACCAAAAGATCACATCATCCAATAAAAAATGAAGTACAGACCTAAACAGAGAACTCTCAACAGAGGAAACTAAAATGCTGAAAGTCACTTAAGAAAATGTTCAACATCCTTAGTCATCAGAGAATGCAAATCAAAACAACTCTGAGATTACATCTTACACCTCTAAGAATGGCCAAGATCAAAAACACTGATGACAATTTATGCTGGAGAGGTTGTGGGGGACACTTCTGCATTACTGGTTGGAATGCAAGCTGGTACAACTCCTTTGGATATCAGTGTGGTGATTTCTCTGAAAATTAAGAAACAACCTTCCTCAAGACCCAGTAATACCACTTTGGGGTATATATCCAAAGGATGCTCAATCGTGCCACAAGGACATGTGCTCAACTATGTTCGTAGCAGCTTTGTTTGTCATAGCCAGAACCTGGAAACAACCTAAATGCCCCTCGATCGAAGAATGGATAAGAAAAATGTGGTACATTTACACAATGGAGTACTACACAGCAGAAAAAAAATAACAATAGCTTGAATTTTGCAGGAAAATGGATGGAGCTAGAAAACATTATTTTGAGTGAGATAACCCAGACACAGAAAGACAATTATCACATGTACTCACTCATAGGTGGTTTTTAAACATAAATCAAAGAAAGCCAGCCTACAAACCACAATTCCAGAGAACTGAGACAACAATGTGGACGCTGAGAGGGACTTGCATAGATCTGATCTACATGGGAAGTAGAAAGTAGAAAAAGACAAGATTGCCTGAGTAAATTGGGAGCATGGGGACTTTGGGGGAGGATTAAAGGGGGGGGACAGGGAGGGGAGCTGAGAAAAATGTAGAGCTCAATAAATTTCAATAAAAGAGAGAGTGAGGTCTTCCTGATTCAGTGCTGTCTTGAAACAGTGACTTCCTGGTCCATACCGCCAGCATAAACTCTGGTTCTTTTTTTGGGTTGATGCCTGCCACCACTTTGGATCTGGATGCTTATGTGCCCACTTGGGGTCGGGAGGATGGTAGCTGAGATCATGCCCACTCAGCACTACCCGCCTGGGCAGTCAGCGGAATATAGTCTGCTAGGAGTACACAGACCAGTAAGCATGGTAGATTCCCGCTGCCATGCACAGAGATATATTGAGACCATGCAGTGTGCTGCATAGCAGATTTAGCTTTTACTCAGATAAAAAAGGGTTTATATGCTGCACGGTGCTACCCAGAGTTTAGGTGGTAAGGATGGCTCCCACTTGGCGGTCCCAGAACCTGTGGTGAACTACCTCCACCATATTTAAAGCCTGAGAGAGGCAGAGCCAGAACCCAGGGCCACTGAGACCGAGCTGCTTAGCATTTTAAAAAGTACTCTTAGAGAGAAAATTATTTCAGATACACAATAGGACAGATTAAGACATAAAAGACCTCTGAACAAGACACCATGTGTTTGAAAAATGTACATAGGCATGGGAAAGAGAAGAAAAGGTGTAAAGAGACAGTAAATGTAATATAAAAGAGTACAGACAGTCATAGATTAAAGGAATAAAGATAATAAAATAAATATTAAATTGTAGAAAAAATAAGAAGAATAAAAATAATAAGCCACATAAAGATGGAAAATTCACAGAGTATGGATTATTGTATTTTCTTTGAATTTTTTTGACTGTTAAAGAGCTATATAACAAGAGATATTTCATTGTATGGGCTGCTAAGATAAACCAGCATATATACTTTAAAAGTATCTTGATTTCAAAATTTGGGTCGAATGATATGTTGCTTTGGAAAAAAAGTTCTTCTTTTGTTTCTACAGAGGGTGAGAACCTGCGGAATCCTTCCAGACTAATGTGGTTTGATGGACCAAGATCCCCTGAAAGGTTGTCTTGAACACCCCTGAAAAAAATACCTTGCCCAATAAATATCAGGAAACAGTTTGGAGAGAACCACACCCATATCCCTAAATGATTGTTTATAAATGTTTATTTACATTTAAAAGGGGATATGCTACAAGATCTGCATTGGTATGGATCTTGGTTTATTGATACAGATTTAAGGTCAATTTTGTTATACTGTGTATATGTATTTCTGATCTTGATTAAGGTGTTGTGTTTGTTTAACCATTTAAAAGTGTAATGTATAATTAAGAAATATAAGTTAATAGATAATCATCTATAATAGTCAAGCTTGTAGTCATGTTAGTTAGGTTTTCTATATATACAAAGATATATTTCAGTTAGAAAGGTATTCTTCAAGTTTTTCAGAGACCTTCAGAATATGGCATTTAAAATATTTTTAAAACTTAGGACTTTTCATGACAATGAGACACATCTGCCTCTGGCAGCACCAATATGCCTCAAGAGAAAGATGGACATTGAAGAGGCTCCTTATGGAACTGGGTAGCCAGTTGGGCAAGAAGCTGCTCATGCCTGAACTGCTTGATGGTATGCTGTATGAACTGGACATGCGGAACCCACAGAAAAATGACTGCTAAAGTTGCCTAAAGAAGATGAGACAGTCCTTCAGGGTTCCTGTTTCATAAAAGAGTCTGCCAGACATTCTGAAGGACACAGAAAAAAGTGACTGACAAACTGCTAATATAGGCAGAACTGTCTTTAAATTTTCCTGCTTCGTGGAAAAGTCTGCTGGATACTATGGGCCTGTTGGCTGAAGATGGATGCCCCAATGGTACAGAAGAACTTTGGGTGACTGTCCAGGTAGTGAGATGTCTTTGTCAATTCTAGAGTTTTGGAAGTTGCTTACAATGCACTTCCTGTTTACTTAGGTATTATTAAATCCTTTTGGAGTCTTTGGTGGAGTTGAAGAATTGATAGTTATAGATTTCCTTAGTTATGATAAGAGACAAAGTAGATATAAATATTGTAACTATAATTCTTTCTTGATACCTATTTTGTTATATGTAATTTTACTATGTTAAAGTTGAAACCTTCCTTTTATTTAAGCAGAAAAGGGGAGGTGATGTGGGATTCCCCTCTGTATGCTGTGAATACCATTGGTTAATAAAGAAACTATCTTAGGCCTGCACAGGGCAGATAATACGTAGGTGGGAAAACTAAACTGAATGCTGGGAGAAAGAAGGCAGAGGAAGAGAAGCCATAGAGCTTCTGTCAGAGACAGACATGCCGAATCTTTGCCGGTAAGCCACAGCGACGTGGTGATACACAGATTAATGGAGATGGGTTAAATTAAGATGTAAGAGTTAGTCAGTAAGAAGCTAAAGCTAATGGGTCAGTGATTTAATTAATACAGTTTCTGTGTGGTTATTTGGGGAGTCTGGGCAGCCAGAAACAAATAAGCAGCTTCATACAACACCACATGTCTATAACTCTGAAGACAAAACATGAAAGGAAGCCATTATATTGGACAGAGCCAGGAGCAAGGCTGCAGACAGGGTGACTGAAGTCGCTTGGACACTCAAAACTAGACCACTCTTAGCTGAGACATGGCTCAGCAGGAGAACACTTGCCTAAAATCCCTCAGTGAGGAGATAGGGGTAGACAGCAGGGAGGTTTAGCAACAGAGAATCTCCTAGAATGCACTAAGAAGAGGCTGGAGGTGGGGGCTCTTTCAAAGAGAACTTACTTAACACATACTCAGCATGAGGACATGAGAGAAGGGTGACAACTAAAGGTTAAGGAATTCCTCCTAGAACCTCTCTTTCTCTAAAAGATAAGAAGCCTGAACACAAAGTTTACTCGTTTACATAGAGGCCATTCAACTGAATTAAATTTGGTCAGGGGCAGATTCTGTATGTAACAAACTAACCAAACACAACAGGCACTCCAACTACACACTACTTGAGATTATATTCTTCCAGTCACTCAGTCACTCAGAGCAGTTGACCTGCTCCAGGCTGCCAGCTACCTCAGCACGGCCAAGTAACGCCAAAGCAGAGCTGGCACCCATCAAGCTGTGTGTCCATGCCCAGCTCCCTCTGGTCTACAGACACCATGTGCTGACACTGATGGGAGCTGTAACTGAACTTTTTCTGGTTCAGGAGATTATCCATTATGAGTGGGTTCTTGACTCAAATAAATGGTAGTAATTTTGATGTCTCTTACAATATTTTAAAATTTATTTATTATGTATATAGTGTTCTGGGCACGAGATCTCATTATAGATGGGTGTGAGCCATCGTGTGGTTGCTGGGAATTGAACTCAGGACCTCTGGAACAGCAGTCAGTTCTCTTAACCTCTGAGCCATCTCTCCAGCCCGTCTCTTACAATTTAACAAGAGTATGCCGAGACAAGCATGTCAAGATATGCCCCACCTCCCCAGTGCTCACACCTAAAACCAATGCTTTCCCAGCAATCAAGGTTCTACCCAGTTCATAGCAGTGTACAAGACCCTACCGAGTGTACAAGACCCTACTCAGTTCATAGCAGTGTACAAGACCCTACCCAGTCATAGCAGTGCTGTTGTTTCTTAAGAAAATGCATTTGCTCAGGTTCACAGGTTTATAAAGACTTTCCCAAAGTCCTCCTGGTCAGGGCTCCTTTAGTTCAAGAGCCCCCTAGTGGGACGGTAGCCAGAGTGAAAGGGATGGTTAGGCAAAGCAGCTAGAACAGTCAGTAAACATGAACCTAGTCCTGTGTCCTGGAGGGTGAGCCTGCCCTCTAGTGTCTGGGAAAGGAAGCACAGGTCCCTCTCACCTGTAGAAAAGGGTATAAAAGCTTCAATTTTCTTCAGATCCCCATTGGCATCCAGGAAGTGGTCAGGATTGAAGGTGTCTGGTTGTTCAAAGTACCGTGGGTCATGGAGAGCTGAACTCAGGATGGGGTACACTTCAGTGTTCTAGGAGACATTGTGAGAGACAATGATATTAGCATACCCTGACTCCCATATGCAGACAGTCATATTACAATAAGATTATTGATTATTGTTTGCAAAAAGAACTAGGGAATGCTGGGAAAACACAAACAAACTGGTACTAGGATTGAGGAGAATACAGGAGGCTCAAGACATACAGATGTGGCATCACAGCTGGTCTCACCTTGGGGAGCAGGTACCCTCGGAACAAAGTGTCTTTGGTGACTTTGTGTGGCACTCCAATCGGGACGAGATCTGAAAATCTCTGAATCTCGTGGATGACCGCATCTGTGTAAGGCATTTTGGTGCGGTCATCAAGGTTGGGTGGGCGATGTGAGCCAATCACCTGGTCGATCTCCTTTTGGACTTTCTCTGCACAGAAAAGGGGAATAGTGGGTCTACTTTGCCAGCTTTGTAGCAATGATATTTTATTCTATGAGCCAACAACCCAGGAAAGAGTGCAGCAAGGAGACTCTCCTGAAAAACTCAGTGCACTTGAGGGTACAAACAACTGTTCTGTTCTTAAGTGACTGTCTCTCTGTACCCATGCTTAAAACTATATTAAAGCTCTCGTCCGTGAGCCTCAACCCCATTTCAGTGGGGTGTTAAAAAAAGAAAGAAAGAAAAATGGACAACAAAGGCTACTGCATAGGGAGACTTCGGGGGAATCTTATTGATGCAAGAGTGTAAAGGAGAAAAACAGTAAAAATTCTCACCTTTGATAGGGAATGAATCATCTCTTTACACACGCACACATACACACACACACACAGAGAGAGAGAGAGAGAGAGAGAGAGAGAGAGATACACATGCACACATATACACATACATATAAACACACACTCGTACTCACACATGTGCCATAACTGTACATGGAATGTTATACTAAGAACTCAAGGCTGTATCCTCAGGAATAATATGGAGAAGTGGGTAGATTAGCAAATGATTCTATCAACAGATACACGCAAAAATGGATACATAAGAAAATCAATGGATCAATTAGTTAATAGATGGACATATTCATGAGTCAATGAAACAAATAAACTAAACACTGGATTATGTATTCAACTTGTAAATCAACAGGTGATTCAAACGGTGGATAAATGAAGAAAGGGATAAACAAGGGAAAGATGAATTCAAAGGCCAGTTAGCGAAAGGATTAAAAAATGAAACCAGTTGATAGAAGAATAAATGTATGAATAAACCAATAACAAACAATTTATTCAGTTCTATAGATCAAAGGAAAAACTGAGTTGGTTAATTAAAATAAATGAATGAAATGGTTGGTTGGGTGATTAAAGGATCTATGAGTACACTAAAAATTAGACAGTGGATTGATACATGGTTGAGTGGGTGGGGTACTAGGTGTGTGTGTATTTATTACTGATAAGTGTTTAGAGATGGGTAGATAAAAGGATGGTTGAGTAAATATGTGTTTGGATAAATAGATGGATGGGAAAATGAATGAAGGGATTGGTAGGTGATAGCTGGCTTGGTGGGTAGACAAATAGGTAACTGAATGAACAGAATAAGTAGATGGATGAAGAGGTGCATGGATAGAAAGAGGAATGAAGAAATGAGTGTAAGGATTCAGGAAGGACAGATAGGTGGATGGGTGGGTAGGCGGATGGATGAACAGATGGATCAATCTTTAAGTCATAAGAGAAAACAATGGAAATGGACCAGCTGAGAGTTCATTCACACACTACCCACAGCTCTGCTTTAGGTTAGATGTAGGCCAAAGTCTTCAGAGGTCCAGATATAAGAGGCCCATGGCTCTCTTATCCACACAAACCTCCACAGCCAATAGGGAGCTAGAAGATTCCCCAACTGGTTGTTTGTGGCGCACCTGCAACATGGGGATATTTGAGCATGAGAAGGAAGCCATAGCGGAGCGTGGTGCTGCTGGTCTCAGTGCCAGCAAAGAAGAGAGATAGTACAGACATCATGAGGTTCTGGTGATGGAACTCCGTGTGTTGGTTGTTCTTCTCCTGGTTCCAGATGGGAGAGAGAGAGAGAGGGTCAGAGGTGACTGGAGCCTTGCAGGGAGAGGCACACACATCCTGGGAACTGTCCCTCTGTCTCACATTATATGGATCACATGACATTTCTCAGTCCTTAATATCACATGATCTCTGTCTGTTCTGCCTTCTCTCTCTACTGTGCTCTCTGGTAGTTTAGCATGGTTTGTCTCCCAGGCTCTTTCTGCCTCTGTGGTCTTTCCTGCTTTTTTCTCTTGTCCTTTGTTTCTTCCCCACCCTTCTTTCTCTCTATTTCACTTTCTCCTCCTTTTTATTTTCATCATTTTCCAGACACTTCTGCATCTCCTCCACTCCATTTCCTGTCTCTCCTCCCCATTCTCTGCCCCCTTTTCCTCTGCTCACATCCTCAGCCTTTGCTCTCAGCCATCCCCTCTCATTCACGCAGGACTTACCTTCTCCATGCGTAGAAGGTAGGTATCAATGAAGTCTCTAGGACTGTTGGGGTCCAAGGTTGCCCTGTGCTTCTCCACACTGTGGCCAATGTAGTCAAGGACTTCCTGCAGGTTTTTGGAGACTTGTATGTGTGTACCAGGAAAGTACTTCAGGAAACCAGAGAAGAGCTCAAACACCTGCAAGAAAGAAGGGCCCAGGAAGTCACTTGGAGCTATTAAGTCTCAAGAAGCAAGCTGTTCCTAGATCCACACATCCATGAGACCCCGCCTTCTCTCTTTCTGTCCTCGCCCCTTTCCTTCCTTTATCTTCCCCCACTCCTTTGCTCATCTTCTCTGTTCCTTTGTTTCCCCTCTCATGCACATACACATACAGCATGCTGTCAGTCTGTCCCTTTGGATATTTCTCCAGTACTTGTCTTGTATTCTCTATCTCTCTTTCCTAAGCCATCATTTTGTTGTTGCTGCTGTTGCTACTACTGTTGTTGTTGTTTCAATCAGGGTTTTGTGTCTTTCAGACTATCCTCAAGCTCAATACTTATCCAAAGGTGACCCTGAACTCTGATCTCCCATGTACTGGGATTGCATAGGTGTACCAGCCATACCTGGTTTATTTTGTGTAGACAGCTCCTGTATCCTCTTAGCTACAGCCAGAGCCCCATGTCTTCATTTTCTCAAGGTTGAACGGCTCTGTATTTCTGCATCTGGGTCTCTCCACCCTGATTAACAACAACCCTCCCTCCCTTTGTTCATTCCTACCTCTCTCCATCCCTCCAGGCCTCAGTATCGTTCCCTCTTCATGTTGTCTCTGCCTTTACTTTCAGCCCTATGACGTTCCCTTCTTTGCACACAGAGCAGCCTCTTTTCCCCCTATACCCTGGATGCTCCTCTGTTCCCACTCACTGACCTGGCTGGAGAATGAGCTGGCAAGCGAGAAGGTCTGATAGAACAGGTCCAACAGGCGCAGGAACTGGCGGTCTTTGTAGTCAAAGCGCTCTCCAAAGACAATGGAGCAGATGATGTTGGCTGTGATGCACTGGAAGAGGAAGGTGGGGTCCAGGGAGGCTCCTGGAGGGTGAGGATGCAGGACAAGAGACATGGCATCAAGAGGAACATTTGGCCTGGCTCCATCTCTGTAAAGTTGTCCCCACTACTCAAAGAATAACAACAGCTGGTACCCCATTTGCACATATGATGCACCAGGTCCTACACTCAAGATTGCACACACCATTTTCCTTAATTTCTTCTCAATATTCTACACAAGACACAATGCTATTTGTAAACACAGAAACAGTCGCTAACTTCAACAAAGGTAACACAGCTACTCATGAGAGTGGGGCCAGGATTCAGACCCAGGGAGCGGAGAAGGAGAGCATGTATAAGTCAGTCCTCCCAGGGGAACATTCTGACTCTGAGCTGAAAGCTAACTCCCATTGGCAGGAATTGTGCAGAGAAGGAGTCAGGGCTTGCTTTCTGGATTTAGAAATCTATCATCTGTGAGTCTTCCTCCAATCCTTCTATGATCCTAGGCTCCTGTGGTGTTCCAAGTACCAACATCACCTGGAGACTTTGAATTCCAGATTCTATCATGGGCCCTCACGGTGGGAGGGATGTTGGCAGTCCAGCAATACTGGCTCATTATTGCCCCTCTCTGGGTCTTGTCTGTGTCCCTGATTACTCTGCAGATCCTTCCCTTGTGTTTGTCGGTCTTTCTCTGTCTCTCTGATTTCCTATATAAATGTCTTGCAGCATTTCTGTCTCTTTCTCTTTTCCCTCCCTCAGCTACTTTCCTCCCTGCTCCATTCCCCTCACTCCTTATCCGTTGTGTTTTCTCTTCTGCTTGGTCCCTCTAGCTCTATCTCATCTTCCTGGTCTCTGTCTTTCTCCTTCTTTCTTCTTGGTCTCTTGATTCCTTCTGTTCACTTCCAGCCTCTGCATGGACAGCTCCGTGTCTCCCGAAAAGTCTTAGGCAATGATAAACACCAACATGACAAAATAAGGTGCTAAAAACAGACCAGGTCACCACTATGCCCCTGTTAGGAAGTTTCTATAAGTATCCAGACATGCCTGTGACTGCCACAAAGTAAAAAACCCCATTGGGCCTCTTTGCTCACTGCCGTACTCCCCGTGACATCCACAAGAAAGACACACAGTACCCTGCTCCCATCACCTGCCTTGGACATGGACCATGTTTTAAGACTGGTTAATGTAATCAAGATGGTCTTGAATGCCATATAAAGTCAAAGATACCTCAGCATCTAAGCTCCTGCCTCCACCTCAGGTATACCAAGATGACTAGCATGTGGCACCATGCCAACGTTGTGGTATTAGGGACCAGATTGGGAACTGTGTTTGAGTTGGCCAAGCTGCTTCACGTCTGAGCTGCACTCTCAGCATCAACCGCTTTTTCTCTTTGAGATAAGATCTTATGATGTAGTCAAGATGGCTTTGAATTTATGATCCTCCTGTCTCAGCCCCCTGAATATTGGGATGATAGGCTGTGCCATCATGCCAGACTAACACATAGTCTTAACCCAGGCATTGATTTCCCTGAATGTAAGTATCCAGCATGTGGGTCACTCAATCTCAATCAAACACATGTGAGTTATTCTTGGAAACTATGAACTTCACATCACTTTCCTGTATTTTTATATTTCTTTACCCCCCCACCCTCTCCAGTGTGTGTGTGTGTGTGTGTGTGTGTGTGTGTGTGTGTATGTGTGACTTTCTCCGCCCATGTATATCTAGTCTCTTCCTTAGGCTCTGCACTCAGGTCCCTGTGTCACCATCTTCCTTTCTGCTCATTCTCCAGGACTCACCCTGGGATTTCCTCAGCTCCTCCACCAGACATTGGGCCTCCTCCTGAATCCGCTCCTCCACACTCCGCTTTCCCATCCCAAAGTCTCTCATGGTGGCCAGAGAGAATCGCCGAAGGGCCTTCCAGCGTTCCCCATTGGCAAAGATCACACCTAAGAACATAGGGGAAGGATAAGTGAGTTACAGAGGAAGTTCACAGAGGCCTGGGTCCTTCCCCACCCCTTGACCTTCCTTCTATCAGATTCTCCTCTTTCTGTGCCCATTCACCATTCCATCTCATCCCAGACTTTGAGACTCCTACCATAGTCCTTGAAGACTGGTTGAACCACAGCAATTGTCCCCCGGCCAGAGAAAGCCTCTGCTTGGTCCACCAGAGCCTCCCTTATGGCCTCTGCCCCATACAGCATGACCACGGGCCTCGGTCCCAGGTGCACTGTGAACACGTCTCCATATTTTTCTCGAAGCTGCCAAGCATAAAGGCACCAGGGTTGTGGTTAGTCAGTGCAGACATTGTTGTTACACTGTGAAAACACCTAGACACAGACTGGTAAATAGGTACCCCTCTGCTGGTCACCCTTTCTCTTCTGAGGACCTAGCAATTCAGGGTTAATCCACCACCACGAAGGTCTGCATTGATGTTGGGTGTTCTGAGCAGTACAACATTATAGTATAACTGTGGGTGTGGGGCTCATGCTATAAGCTCAGTACTGGGGGAGTAAATGAGGGGAATCAGGAATTCAAGATCTTCTCTGGCTACTGTTGAGCTGAGCCTGGGGCTACACGAAATCTTGTCTCAAAAAAATAAACAAGATATAGATATGGTATAGGAAAACTGAGAGTGATGAATTTACACTAAAATAGGCTCAGCAATAAACTTGGTTAAGAAATACTAAGTTGCAGAAGGTAGGGTTTAACTGAAGCAGTGCTGCTGCCTCTAAGATGACTCAGTGATATGTGGCTAAACTAACCAGACTTGTTAGAAAATGGACAAAAATAGTTGCATCTTGAATATAATTGTACTTTAGGTTTGCTGCAGTTTAGGCTTCTGAGAGTATATTATTTTTAATATTTGTTTGTTCAGAATGTTGGGTATTAGGCTCTATTCCCATATCAAAGAACAAGGTTCTGCTTGGCAGTTCAAAGGGGATACTGCTGGCTAACAACCACCGTTAAGTCCTGGTTCTCTTATCAGAAAGAGTATAATTCTGCCAGGAGAACAGATGACCTGGGTGTGGTGGTTTGAATAGCAATGGCCCTATAGGTTCCTATGTTTGATGCTTGGTCACCAGGGAGTGTCAGTATTTGAAAAGATTAGAAGGGCTGGGAGGT